GCCCAGGCCCAGAGTTCAAGCCCCATGTGTGTCTGCCAATCCTGGGACTTGGACTCAGGGCCTCGGTGGTGTCCCTGAGCTTCTTTGCTCAAGGTTAGTTCTTTGCCACTTGAGCCATAGCTCCACTTCCTATTTTTTGGTGGCTAATTGGAGATATTAGTCTTATAGTCTTTCCTTCCTGGCTGGGCTAGCCTCAAACTACAATCCTCATATCTCAGCCTCCTGAGTCACTAAGTAATTAAAAGTACTTATAGCACTCTTTTTTTTTTTTTTTTGCCTCTGATCATGCTTTCTAAATGGAGTAATAAAGCTCGGTGTTGCTTAACATAGAAACTACTAGTTTTCTTCTAAACAAAAGAAATCAGACTAATACTTAGATCTTTAGATTCCTGTCTAATAAGGTTCAAACTATTGGTATACTAGAAAAAAAATACCACAAAATCACAGGTAAATCATATCCACACACCACCCTACTTTCTCCCTCAATTCTACTAAGAAGGTTGCCTGGTAATTATGTTTCTAGTTTCTATGAGTCTCCTCTCCTCTCCAATAAGCAGGTTTGTTCACCTTTCTTCTAGAAAAGTCTTTTGTCATGTTAGAATCCACCTGTGAGTCACTGGCTTGCCTTTCTTACAATGTGCACTCATGAATTTTCTTCAAGGTGATTCAACAGTTTTTCCTATTTTTTTTTCTAATTTTCTAATGGAGGTTCCATACTCACTAGATATTTATTCACTAGGGAAAGAGCAACACAAGAGTCTGAGATTGGGCTGGGAATGTGGCTTAGTGGTAGAGTGCTTGCCTAGCATGCATGAAGCTCTGGGTCTGATTCCTCAGTACCACTTCTACACAGAAAAAGCCAAAAGTGGCGCTGTGGCTCCAGTGGTAGAGTGCTAGCTTTGAGTAAAAGAAGCTCAGGCCCTGAGTTTCAGCAAGCCCCAGGACTGGCAAAAAAAAAACAAAAGGATTTAACACAGCACCATTGCAAGCATGCCTCTGAAGACAACTTACTCCTAACCCAGGAATAAGTCCTTCCTACTTCAAAGAAAAATACACCCCTTTCTTACAGGCCCACACCTAAGCAAAGTCTGTCACATGAAATGTTCTCTTGGATTAAGTGGAAAGGGAAACACCTCCTTTCCTGGCAGAACCAGACCTTGACAATTCCCCTCTGATCTGCTTATTAAAAACAAACAAAAGAGCTAATGTATGAAATTGATCCCTGAGACTTACAAAACAACCAACCAGATACTGATTCAATTTACAGGAAGCCCCTCTCCCTGATCCCGGTGGTGAAAAGAATTGAAGAAAGAAAATGGAAGTTAATGTTTAAATGTGTAGAGTCTTAGTTTGGGGAGACACAGAACATTCTAGAGATGGCAATGGTGGTGGTGGTAGTTGCCTCACAATTTAAATGTACTTAACCATGGAATGATACACTTAAAAGTGATTAAGATGAAAAGATTTTGTGTTGTGTGTATTTTTTTACTGCAATGAAAACCAGAACAAATCACTCTGCCAAGAAAGCGTGAGGTCCTGGGTTCAAATCCCAGTACTGCAAAAGCAAAAAAAAATGAACAAAGAAACAAAACAACAACTCCCACAGTATTTTCAAAACAAAGGTCTAGCCGGTCAAGGCGGGGAATGCCTGTAATCCCAGATACTTGGGAAGAAGAAATTGAAAGAAAGATCTTGGTTAGAGACCAGCCCAGGCAAAAAACAAAAACTTATCTCAAAAAAGCAAACTGGGTGTGTGTTGTGTGTGTGTGTGATGATATGTATCTATAATCCCAGCTATTTGGGAGGAGTTAAGATTGTAGTCAGAAGCCCATGGGGGGGGCAGGAGGGGGGGGGAATCACAAGACCCCATCTAAAAAACAATCAAAAAGGGCTAGGAACATGGCTTTAAGTGGTACTTGCCTAGCAAGAACAGAGTTCTGAGTTCAAACACGGCATTGCCACCAAAAAAAAAAATAATAATAATAAATTTCCCCTTGATCCTTTGCTGCCAACACTACTTACTGTCTTTAGTCGGATGAGTCTCTTTGATCTGCTGGCCCTGTACTGCTGAAGTGGACAGGGCCCTCTGGACTGGCTGGACCCCAATTTCCATCATCTTGGGGCAGTTTTGGGCATAGAACAGCAACGATTTGCCAGCCTTCTGTAGAAAGGCTTGAGAGACACGAGATAAGAAGGGGCACCGGCGAACTACAGTCTCCATCTCCAGAAAATGTGTTCGCTCCTGCGGAAAGAGGAAAGATCTTGAATGACAGCCCACAATTTTTGTTTTGTTTTTTTTGGTCAATCCTGGCACTTGAACTCTGGGCCTGGGCGCTGTCCCGCAGCTCTTCAGCTCAAGGCGAGCGCTCTACCACTTGAACCACAGCGCCACTTCTGGTTTTCTGGAGAGAAGAGTCTTATGGACTTTCTTGCCCAGGCTGGCTTCCAACTGTGATCCTTAGATCTCAGCCTCCTGAGTAGCTAGGATGACAGGCATGAGCCACCGGTGCCCAACCCAGCCCACGATTATTAATAACCAGGCCTAACGCCACCACAAGAGGTTCCAAGGTTCTGATGGCTCTGGCAGCTTTATATCCAGTGTAACTAACATGTCACTTAAAATCAATCAACCAATCAAGGAGAGCTCTGATATCTACCTCAGTGAGGGCATGGTGATTTATCTTCTACCTAGCTCACCAACTTCATTCTCCTGCTCCATAGAAAAACAGCTATAGGGCTGGGAAGGTGGCTCAGTGGTAGAGTGCTTGCCTTGCGTGCATGAGGCCCTGGGTTCGATTCCACAGCACCACAGAAGCAGAAAAATCCAGAAGTGGTGCTGTGGCTCAAAGTGGTAGAGTGCTAACCTTGAGCAAAAGCAGCTCAGGGACAGTGCCCAGGCCCTGAGTTGAAGCTCCAGGACTAGAAAAATAAAGAAAAAATAAATTAAAAACTCCTATAGGCCAGGTGCCAGTGGTTCACACCTGTAATTCTAGTTCCTCAGGAGGCTGAGATCTGAGGATCAAGGTTCAAAGTCAGCCCAGGCAGGAAAGTCCGTGAAACTCTTATCTCCAATAAACCACCAGAAAACCAGAAGTGGTGCTGTAGCTCAAGTGGTAGAGTGCTTACCTTAAGCTGAAATGCTGAGGACAGTGCCCAGGCCCAGAGTTTAAGCCGATAGCTGAGTACCCAGCTAATCAGGGGGGGTGAGGTCTGAGAATCACAGTGTGCAGACAGACTGGCTGGGCAGGAGAAGTCTGTGTGACTCTTTATCTCCAAATGACCCACCAGAAGCCAGATGAGAAGCTGGGGTTCAGGTGGTCAAACACTAGCTCGGAGAACAACTACCTCTCAGCGACAGCGCCCAGGCCCCCCCTTAGTTCAAGGGCCAGGATTGCACAAAAATAAATAAATACACTTATATAATCAGGTATAATGTCCCCAAGTCCATATGGACCATTCACCTTCCCCCCAAGGGGAGGTAGAAGGGACAAAGGACAAGTCAGAAACAGGTCTGGGAGCCCAGAGGCTCCCGCCGAGATGCACAGTGTAGTTAAGACACCCTTACACACACACACACACACACACACACGCCCAGGTGGACAGAAGTGAGGTTCAGTTTCCCAGAAGGCAGTGTGAATGTCCCTCCAGGCGGCTGGACCAGATACTGGTGGGGGGGTGCCGGGGAAGGGGTGGCTTTCTCCAGGGTCACCATGCTTTCCCCCCCCTCCACCTGGGAGGGTCCTCAGGGCTTGTCTAGAGAGAGGTCCAAGCCCCTAAGCTCAGGGGAAGGGGGGGTAGGGGGGGGCAGGAAGAGGGCGATGGAAATGTAGGGGTGTCAGGTAAAAGGCCAGGTTGAGGGGAGAAGGGGGGGAGAGGTTTGGCTCATCGGACACATCCAGGGGCTGTGAAGGGCCCCCAGATCCTCAGGAGGGCCTGGATGGAGGTGATGGGGGTGATGGGGGGGGAGGAAGGGTTACAGGGGAGTGGGGGGGGCTCCCCAGGAATGGAAGGCAGGAAGAAGGGGAGGGGGGGAATGGGAGCTGGGGAAGGATGGACGTTGGGGAGTGGGGGATCCGGGGAGGGGTGAAGGGTGGGGTCCCCCCCCCGATCCCGGGGTGTATGGGGTGGGGGGAGGGGACAGAGGGGTCCGGGCTGGGGGGGGGATGTGTCTCAGGCTATCCCTTTCCCCCCTCCTCCTCCTCTCCATCACCCCCCACCCCCGGGGTAGGAAGTGCCTCGCCCCCCCTCTCACCTGCACGGCTGAGACGGCGACGGGACGACCCAACCGTTTGTCCTTGTCCTCGAGAAGCCTCCTCAGGCCGCGACCCCGCCGGCGCCTTAATATACAACCCGGGGCGACCGGCTGCGCATGCGCGGCGGCGGGTGGGCGGGGGGAGAGAGGAGGAGGGAGGAACAGGCTTAGAGGGGTTGTGGGCGGGGCCCGGCTTGGCGCATGCGCACGGCGCCACGGGCCGAGGGGGCGGGGCGGGCTGGCTGGCTGGCTGGCTGGCTGGGAAGCTGGAAGCTGTGTTGCACCCCCAGCAGGTTCTGGTTTTCAGAATGTAGCAGAGGCCTGGGAAGGTGGGTCAGTGATTGAGGACTTTAGCCTAGCATGCATGCAGCCCCGGGTTCGATTCCTCAGCACCACAGACACAGAAAAAAAGCCAGAAGTGGTGCTGTGGCTCAAGGGGTAGCGTGCTCGCCTTGAGCACCAAGTAGCTCAGGGACAGTGCCCAGGCCCCAGGACTGGCAAAGAAGAAAAATGGCTTGCACATGCAAGAGGTTCCCTGGCCAGGGTCTTTTTCTGTGCTGCTGGATGTGCCGAGAATGGAGTGGTCCTGGTAGTTTTTTTGTTGTTGTTTGGTCTTGGGTGCTGAACGCAGGGCCTGGGCGCTGTCCCTCAGCTCTTCAGCTCAAGGCGAGCGCTCTACCACTTGAGCCACAGCACCACTTCTGGTTTTCTGGTGCTTTATTGGAGATCAGAGTCTCACGGACTTTCCTGTCCAGGCTGGTTTTGAACCGTGATCCTCAGATCTCAGCCACCTGGGTAGCTAGGATGACGGGCGTGAGCCTGGCTTTTTTTTTTTTTTTTGCTAACTTTTTAAAGTCAAGTTATACAAAGGGGTTTCAATTCTAAGAGTCATAGTATGAGTATAATGCATCTTGATCCATATCACCCCTTCCATCTTTCTCCCCCACCTTTTCCCCATCCCCTCCACTACCCTCAAGTTATGTAGTTCCAGTTTTACACCATGTACATTGAATATAATGACTGGGGAAGAAGAAG